CACAGAAATTATTTGTGTTCAATGCTATGAAGGAGAAATTTCGGGGGTCCTTCATGTACTCATTCAGCACATGTTTATGGAGTGCTTTATGCACCAGATATTATTATAGGTACTGGCTCATATGAGCAAATCTTGACCTAATGCTCTCTTGATGTGTAACATTTGGATTGAGTTTTGAAGGACAAGTAGAACGTCAGAGTGGAGGAAAGGAGAGCTCTGGACTAAAGAACAGTCTGCTTCAACAGCCTGACAAGGGAAGGAGAAAGAGGCTGAAAGTGGCTAGAGGTAAAACTGGTTGAGAGGAAGGGGGCCGGATACGGCCAGGTGCCTTCCACTCAATCCTCACTTGCTTTCACAGTGAACCAATAAAATAGCATTCAGCCTTGACAGTGACAAAACTATATGTATACCTATTCAATTCAAAGCCATTATTCTATCCGTTTTCCTTGCCATCAGATCTCCCCTCCTGCCCTAGAAATACAAAATGCCAGGAATGCACTTTCTCAGCTTCCCCTGCACCTAGGATGGACAAGTGACTCAATCCTGGCCAGTGAGCTGAGAGGAAGTCTTCCAGGGAGGATAATTCTGAGACAGAGGCATAGGAGGAGGGGCCCGATCCCTCCTGTCCTGTCTTCAGACATTATCTTGTAGGATACAATGGCTGGCACTGCTGCAGCCATTTTATAAGCAGAAGGAAAGAGGCAACACCATCACAAAGGAGCTGCCTACATACAGGAGCCAAACGCATCCCTGGCTGCCTTGGGGCCCCTGGATCAATGAGAAAAACAGATCTCTATTATTCCAAACACTTTTACCTGCATCTTAGTAACTCACAGTCCAAAACATGACAAGTAATGTAGAAAAGAAGCCCCCAAGAGGCTGAATAATTTCAAAATTATACAACTAAAAAAGAGGAGAAATCTGAGTTTTAAACACAGGCCTAATGATGCTAAACCCTTCACTCTTTTTTGCTCTACCATATCCCTTGGACTCTGAATTGAACAAACACTGTAAATTGTAAAACTCTGGACAGAACTGAGCCATGACTAATAAAACCATTGCTAATGATAATGCTGTAAGAAGGATGTTGAGGCTGCAGGGATGTGGCCTCAGCGAGGAGAGGAGCTCAGCCACCAGGTCCCTCTGTGAATGTCTGCAGGAAAGCTCAAGTGTGGCCCAGCCATGAAGGTCCTCAGAGTCTGCTTCTCTAACACTTTTAAATGGGCAAGAGCATGGCAGCCAGAGAATCAGCCCTCACTAGGAAGTCTCAAAATATTTAGATTAATCAAGAATAGGCTGAAATTTCTACTCTGAAAATCGTATTTCCTCCTCCCAACAGAAAAAGGTCCCTGCTTTCTACTCCATGTGCCAAGAGATTCAAGGGGGGTGGGGGGGTGTCCTTGACAGTATCTGGGGTGTAGTCAGCTGCAGGTATTTAAAGGGGAGAGGGGGAGAGTATTTTTCTAAAATACTAATTTAAAGAACAAATCAACATCTATTATCTCCTTCATTATGTTTTAAATTGTCCAACTATAAATCACCCTGCAGCAGGTTATTCAAGGGCAGAATTACCCAGCTTGGCTTTCCCGAAGGTTAGGAGAATGACATCTTGTGCTTTTTCTAGTTTAATTTATAACTTTGCAACAGAACCGGCATTGCAGGCCCGTCCATTAACAGGGTAGCTGAACATCTGTTAAAACTCAGCACAATGCCTGGCTTTACACGGCCACAGGAAACGTAACCCAATCTTTTCAAAAGTTCTACCAACTCAAGCTCTTTTTTAATGTAAAATGATTTGAAAATGTAGTTCCCTAAAACATCTGCTAAGCTCTTGCTCCCCTAACACATGATATTCTTTCTACTGTTACCTGCCAACACAAATATTTGGTTGCACAAAACACCCTAAGAAGCACGTGATGGTGCTCAGCTTCAGATTTACATAGGGATCCGCACAGGGCTGGCTGGGGCCTAGGATGTTGTTTACCAGAACTGAAAGCTTATGTGGGGGGAAATGGAGGGGTGGAGGGTTAATTTCACAAAGGCTCTTTCAAACATGTTAAGAAGAAAACATAACTGCACAACTAGATATCTGTGGCAGGGGTACTGTGAGGCACTGATGCAGAAAGTGGACTTGGGAATAGATGACGAAGGTTCTGAGGCTGAAATACCATTTGCTTGAACAAGTTGGGCAAGTTTCTCCATCACTGCAGAAGGGTTATGAGATACCTAAAGATCCATATGCTGATATAGGAAGCATCATGGTGCTCAGCTTACACTGCTAAGTTGCACTTTACTTAGAGTATGCCAGGAATCTAAAGCCATCCCACTGGGCAACAACTGCAGGTAACAAAATTATCCTTGAAAATACAGTATGCCAGGTTTTGTGAATTAAGCCTCATAAAGCAATATGTATGCATGAATATATCTTATAGACTAACATACAATGTATATTCATGTATACATATACAAAATATAATTTTAGAATATTTAATTGCATAAAGAGACAGAAAATAAAAATACAGCACACACATGCTGTATGTGACTTCATTATTTAAAAGCTCCCAGCAAACATCAGTTTCCTTAAAGATGTTTCAATAGCAGCTAGTTGAGGAATCTTGCATCTTTTTTAAACATGAAAAAAACTCTATTACTATCTTATCCACTACTGTTATTTTATCATAAATTGGAGGGCACACAACTTCTTCCCCGGGATCCTCAAGACTCTGTCTTGTCCCCTAGACCTCAAGAGTAAGAGGGGGCAGAAACAAGCTTTACCAGTGGGGGTCGCTGAGCTGAAAATTAATCCCTATGAGTTTCTCATTAGTGATTATTATACTGCAGGCGGCCAAAATGGAAAAATTAATTAATTTCAAAGTGATAATGCATTTACAGCAACAATTAGAAATGTATAACTGTAAAAGGGCAACATTTAAAAGACAGATTACATTTAATAAAGTTACACAAGAACATCCAATTGTAAAATTACTGATCTGCAACAATATTCCTTAAAGAGGCACTTAAAATAGCCTGACTCCATGAAGGGTGACCTAATTACTGTAACTAAAATCACCATAGTCACAGCAAGTCACTGCAAATAAAAAAGGGACACTGATATTACAATACTGCTGTTTAATACTTCAGGGAGCAGTCTGTGGGGGAGAAGCCCACGCAGGGCTTCCAAGCACAAGGCCGAGTTGTAGCTCTTATTTCCTTGACCTTGTACAATGGAATATATACTCCGGCAACAATCGTGTCAAGGAAAAACACTTTCTCTGAAGTCAAAATGCACAAGAGGTGATAGGAATCCAACAGTTTCCATGAGTAGGAATGGGAATGCAACTGCACGGCTTATTTCCAAAAATGTGTTAGCATTACAACGGCAAACGTGCACTCTTCACCCATGAAACAAACGTCTTCTCATGATAAAAGCAATCAGAAGCAGCACACAGAAGAATAAAACACATGGTGACTTTCCCAATAAGCCCCGTCTATCCCGCCAGTAAAATATAGTGATCCCAGGTTTATGCTCATGCTGGTTTCTCCTCTGAGAGTCTTAAATGTTTATGAAAGAGAAGTGATTGGCTGTGAGTTTGACAAACCAGTCCAGGGTTCCCACTCTCTTTATACACCTATTCATATGGAGCTCTAATGGCTAAGAAATACCACCAAATACCTACATGTATAAAGATATTACTAGAATTTTCCTAATAATCTAAATTTAGCTACATATTTCATAGTCTTCCAAATCCATAGGCTTATCTAAAAAAGTACATTTGTGACATTTAAAAGATGATCACTTGGGACAGGAACATGAAAAGTCTATGCACAATGGTTCCCGCAGGGACCAAATGGACAGGGTGGAGAATCAAGCTCTCCCCAGATGAGCGCCCTCCCTACCTTGCCTATAACCCTCTCCTTGGGCCGTTGAGTTCAGGGATAAAAGTCGCCCGACCACCAACAGCAGACTCCCAATTTACAGAGTTCTTTAGTTCCGTGACCCTTTATTCATTGGCAGCAATTACATTTTAGAAAATATTGTTCAGGACCAAGGTAATATTCACAAGAATAACAACTATCATTGCAAGAAGTGCCACATACCTACCATACCATAGGCACTGTGCTGGGCACATTATTCAACTGTGCTTTCCAACAGGGTGGCTGTTAGGCACGTGCGGCTATTTACATTAAATCAAATTAAAAATTTAGTTCTTTATTCATTTTTCAAGGGCTCAATAGCCATATGTGGTCAGTGGCTATCATACTAAATAGCCAGATTAAAGTCTGCAGATTAGAAAAATACTACATCAAATGTGTATTCTTCATTCAAGTTACTTCTTACTGAAACACTTTCATGGAGGAAGTTTCTAGATATGGTTGTTATATGAGCATTAAAAACATAAAAATGTCATAGTTACCTTTGTGAACATTTCTAAATCTAACCGCAGTAGTGTGATTCATCCAAAATAATTCATTGTTGGGGAAGTAAAGAGTAAAACACACTTCTAGCCAACCAAGTATACCCCAGGAGAGGTATACAACCAGTAAGAAAAGAATTTGGAACATCAGATACAGATTCTCAGTGGAAATAAAGGAATCACATCATCTGATAATTCAACAGTCACAAATCCATGTTGTTCACCTACTAATGCAAAACACAGTTACCAAGCGCAGCACTTTCTGAATAATAATAAATAAAAGCACATCAAACGAAAACCAATAATTGCTATCAAGACTTTTAGCCACACTAACACAATACTGAGAAACCACATCTCCCACCCAGCCCTTCAAGACACCTTTAGAGAGACAAACATAATCAAAAGTCGATTGAAATGTGTTCAAGGGCCCTTTCCAATGGCTTTAATAGGCTTGATGATGTGATTAGCAAGACCAGACTCATCATTCCAAGAGGTGAAAGGCTGAAGAAAGCACGCCTGGGTTTCTCAAGGACCCTTTAGAAAGGCACAGTGAATGGGTCTGCGGTGACGAAGTCGTTCACTTACCATGGACTTGGTGAAAGGCCTGGCCAAGGTGAACAGCAGCGTGTACACCCACCAGTTGCGATGAAGGGAGGAGTACAACATGTTTCCTGGATGCACTGCATTCGAGGTGACCCCTCTTGGGGACAAGCGGCGATGAAGCTCATTGGAGAAAAGAATGTTGCAGAGTTTGGACCGGTTGTAAGCCAGCATGGCCCAGTAGTCATTTTTAGATGGAGAGAGGCGGCTGAAGTCTAGCTTTCCTGCGGAATCATTAATATCTGTAAATCTAAAAAATACAAAATACAAAAAATAGAAAAGATGACATGAAGCAGCCAAGCGCTGACATCTGATATAACTTCTTAATTTTAATTGAAAATCTGCAAAACTACACAAAGACTACTGAAAACCCAATGGTGCAAACCTCGAAACAAAGTTGCCCATAAAAATAGACAACGGTGATTTAACAATATAAACCAACTGGATGCAAAGATAGGCTTCATAAAGACCCAAATTCAGAAAGGGAGCAGTCTTAACATACTAAACACCCCCCGCCACTCACATATATTTTTCAAAACCTTCAATAGGAAGTTCAGGGATAATTAAGTTAAATGGAAAAGCATCTTAAATGAAGGGCTGCTGTTTTTGGAAGCAAGAAGATATCACATTGCTAACCTTTGACAGGGTTTTCCTGGGTTATTTTAGCCAAAGCTGGAGTCCTGTATAGTTTCACTAGAGCATCTAAGTAAATATATAGATGAGTCTTGCTGCCTCCAAGACTCTTTTTCCAGATTAAAAATTAATGATTATAAAGGGGTTACAACCTTGGTAAGGTGCCATCAATAGTCTTATATGTTTAAAAGACAAATATAAACAAAGCCAAAATGAGTTCTGGCGGGGTCTAATGTTTTTAAGTATACCCACGGCATGGATACACACAAATCAAAGTAAGTAGTTGATGTTTTATAATTGGGTCTGATGGAGTCGTTAAACACCAGCTGTTTGTTTCTTTACTTTCTTTCTTCCTTTTTTTTTTTAAAAAAAATCAACAACAAAGTAGTGACTGCCTTTTAAAGCATGGATAATAACAAAAGGATTTTCTAGATGACAGACTCATCATTGTTAAGAACTTAGTTTGCTTCATTAGATTAGCAATGAGTAGTAAAGAAGCACAATAAGAGGAATCTGGGTAACTGCTGTGGGTAACAAAGCAAAGGTAAAATGAAAATGATGGAATAATCTGGTCATTCCTTACTTAACATGAGCAGTTCAGTTGAGCTATGACCAAAAGAAGCATCCCAGGGGCAGAAAAAATACATGTTTTAATGGAAATTAAATATCCCTTTTTTAGGACTCAGTCGGTGACATCCAGTTTCTAGTGTTAAATGACATTGCTGGTCTGAGGTCATCAACAAAGCTGATGGCCATAATCACCATTATTGACACGGCAAAGGGACTAGGAAACTAATTGTTGGCTGCCATCCCTTCCCAAGGTCCCCAAACCACCGGGAGAGCCCAGACTTCTAAGCTTAATCCTTTTAGGCAGTGGAACTTAGCAGGAAATTTAAAAACTTACAGGAGCCTTTTTCTGATTGTCATTATGATTCTCGATGGCGGGGAGTGGGGGGTTGTGAATGATAGCTGTCCTGCAAGGCAGGTGGAGTCTCGCTCAGTGAGGACTCCTGCACCGGACATTCATGCAGCTGAAAAGCCTGTGTGATTGTCTGAGCCTAGGGCCTAACTGTGCTTTACATGTGTGCACAGTTTTAACACCCACTGCATTTCTGGGAGGGTAGTACAACAATTGTATGAATGAGGAATGAATACACTTTCAGATTTCGTGATTAGGGCCGGGGGGAGGTGAGGCTTAACTCAATGCTGGTGGCACTGGAGTCATGGAGTGCCACATGCCTGTCCACAGTCTGCATTTTTGAATATCCTCCCCACTAGGTGATTTATGCCTGGGCATGCACATCTGATACTTACCCTTCCTGTAGTCCTGCCCAAGCATTCACATGTTGAAACATATGCTATTTTGCTTCACATTTAATTTTTTCTTTATATTACAGTAAACTAACATATTGAATTAAAATATATTTATGCAGGAAAGTTATATTACTTCTGAACTCTATTTTAACATTCTAAGGAGGCAGCAATTTTCAAACAATGTGCTGCAAGAATTTTTAAAACATGCTACAGCTGACTATTTTGTCAGAGGCACTGACCTCTTTTCCCTAAGATTGTCAAATAATAAAAAAAATGACAACAGACAACACAACAATAGCCATCCCAAGTGAACGAATCAAATTATACAAATTTCTTTGTCAGATCCTCAAAAAATGCATTTTTTGGTGTGCCACAGAATTTTAGTAATTACTTTATGTGTACCATGAGATGAAAAAGGTTGAAAATCATTATAATAAGGTGTTAAGGAAGAGTTGTTACAAAAAGGGACTGTTGAGTTGAGAACCCAATGATCCAAGCCATAGGCCATATCCTGGAACTGTTACCTACTTGAGTAGAAAAGTGTATCAAGGACTCAGACAATATCTAAGAGGTATAAGATAAATATAACATCCTTCTCTCTCCACTCACCTATTGCAGGAAACCCTTCTTGGCATATTTGTTTAGTCTAACCCAGCTCAGGTGCCATTTCTTCCAGGAAGCTCTCCCCAACTAACTCTACCACTGCCGGTTGTCACACTGATTTCTTAGGTGGCAAAGGAGGATAGATTGAAAAAATGCAAAGTGGACTGAAATGCATGTTTCCACAGAAATTAAGTATCCAATCTCCAGGACCCAGTCCATGATAGTATTAGTGTTCAATAACCTTGCCACCCCTCCAAGATTAGTAACAAAGCAAATTACGCCATCTTTGTATTTTGTCCACACATTCTGCCTCTGGCATTACCACACCAGACCTCAAAACATTTGTTCACCTGGTTCCAGTGCTTGACTGTGAATTTTTAAAAGATAGTGAGCTGTTTGCTTGTTGCCTCATATAAAGTTTTAACACATAGTACAAACTAAATAAAAGAGAACAAATTAAGAGCCAAGTCTCCCTTATTACAAAAAACAACAACAGAAAAACAAAAAACTTTGTTTTGAGCCTTGCTGCAAAGGCAAAATTTACCATTAGATTCAGATCCTTTATGTTCCTCATTAGAGAGAATAAAGAATGTGGCACTTGGCACTTTCAGATGTTCAGAATGAGTCTCCTGCTTTGGATTTTAAGGACAATGCAAGAGTACCTCATGACTGGGGAACATATGGGTTGATTAAATTCCTAAAAAGAGAGAAGTCATTCATTCATAGCCCCCCATCTAGAAACCTAGAAATCTAGAAAGCGCGCACACACACACACACACACACACACACACACACACACACCATGATGAGAAATTACATGGAACCAGGTTAAAGCAAGGTTTCAAGGAAGCACAGCTGCTAAATATCAGGCCCCCACCCTCAACACACAGCCTCCCCCATAAGTGGACCCCTGATTTCCTGCCCAGCTGATCTCCTGGGCAGCGCACCCATTTTTAAGGTCTGATTAGCTTGTATTGACAGCGCTACAGGAAGTGGGAAGGGCGGGTAAGGCTTCTGATTCCTCTGAGCCAGGACAGGCTTCCTGAGAAACGACCATATTCACTTCTCAGCTCCAGAGGCAGTAAAACAATTATTCAAAGGCTGCCTACTCTACTTTCAAACTGAAAAACTGACAAAGCCAAACAATCATGTCTTAATAGAATGATCCTCCTACCAGTACCAGAACATGCTAACATTTTCTCTCTGGACATTAACATCGGCTATATAAGGGAACCTCTAGCTTGTATTTCTATTTACACTGATCCTTTTATTTATTTATTTTTTAACTGAAGTTTGTTAAATTTCCAAACTAAAGTAATTAGTCTGGATTCTATGTAGACAAAAGCTAGTATGTTTAAAGAATAAGACAGAATTTGCATCAGAAGCTGTGTTTCTGTGTGTGTATGGCAGCTTAGCTCTCCACACAGCTGTAGCCATTTAGACTTGTTCAGGCAGCACTGTGCTTTTCCTCCTATTTAAATTGTTATCTGAAAATTTTTCATAGCTAAGAAGTCAAGTTCTCATTTTAATATGATGTATTTTAGGTATGCAGAAACTCAATTCACTCCAGATAAATAACCAGAATACAGTGGAGACACAGGGGGGCTAATAAATATTTTGCCTTGGGGCAGTCTGGTATAATATTTTCTGCAAACACAGGACTTTATTTTCCCCCTAACACGGGGTCTTGACTCCAAGGAAGAGATTCCACCAAGGTTTATGGAGGTAATTAGATATCAACACTCCATTTTACAACATGGGTTAAGGCTCTGGGTCCTTGAGCAGTGAGCAAGTGTGTTCCCAGGCGTGCGTTCCCGGGCCTACGCACCCAGTGCGCACACTGGCTCCCTGGTGCTGTGGGGGGTGATTAAAGCGTAATAAACAAACCAGATTGGGAGAATTAACGTATTGAGAGAATACCCTTTAATATGTGCAAAGGATCATCAGAAAGCAGAAAACCAGCACCAAGGACCTGACAGGAGTGAGACTCCTCTCACACTTCATGAAGGCCTTGTCTATAAACTAAAATGGGTCAAGGCCCTTCCTTCCAATTCAACTTTTTAAATGAAATTAAGAATCAGATCTCCAAGGCAAGAACAAATTACACTGCTGAAGTTCAGGAGAGAACAAAGACGTCCCATGAAATACCATTCAAGATACAGATTTACAAAAGGAAGAGAGCAGCTGACAATTCAACCTAATCTCCCATTAAATACCAGCTCATTTAAACACATCCCGTGGTGCCCTCCACATCTGGCACATGACTGGGGCTGGCAGATTTATTTCCAGAGCTCGCTCGCCTGCGCCTGCCCCCACAGTGGCCTCCCTCGAGCCTTAACGGGGCCACTCCACTTTCTTTAACAAACCTGGTGTGATTTGCAAAGATAAGGATGTCCAGATTTCGTTACCACCTAATTACTAGATGCTCCATGTCTTTTAACACAGGGGAGGATTATTACTGGCATTTTCCTTTCATTTCAGCCATCATAAATTTAAAATGGGAGAAGTAAATCTCTCTGCAGCGTGTCACTTAGACCCTAAGCCCCTGTGTTTGGGAGTGATAAAGGATTCAGACTAACCCTTGGCTGGTCTCTCTCTTACAAGTCCCAGGGGTTACATTTTATGGAAGCATGATTTTAAAAATAAGCTTCATTCTGGGTCACTAAAACATTTCAGGACTTACAGCAGAGAAGAAGGGGGGAAACAGGCACTTGCACATTATTTTTCCAGCTACTTTGCTAAGAGTGAAAGCTCCCAACCATACTAGGAAAATCTCCCTAACATGCATTAAATCTAGCCCCACCCAGCAAGTCCTTTGTCTTTCCCCAGTACTTCTCTTCAGACAAATAGTTGTTTATCCAACTCTAGGAACAAATATGCTGAAAATACGATGAAATTTTCAAATTTTTTTTTTTTACTCAATTGAATATCCTCCTAATGGTGATAGAAAAGAAGTGCCATCTGATGTTTTAATTGAAATTTTAACCAAAAGAGGCATGGCCAGATTTCTAATATGTTCTAACTACAGTACTTCCCTTCCTACAATTACACAGCTAATGTCTGCATTGAATTCCCTAATTTCTCATTATAAAACAATTGGATTTCATCGCGCAGTCTTTAATTGCATTGTTTCTCCTGCTAGAATAACTGCACATTCTTCTTGGTGAGATGTTGAAGTTGTTGAATGACAAATCAATAAAGGTCAGGCATTCAGATTTAATCAATTATTATTCCATCTCAAAGAAAAATCAATGAGGGGCTTGAAGTAGAGTTGTAAAAACAATCTACATCACTGTACTCAAAACCCCAAATAATCTCCCACAATCGCACAAAAAGAAAACAAAACTCGAAAAATAAAGCAGGGTCGAGTGCACTCACACTTTTCAGAGTAGGACTAATGAAAATTATTTTCAGAAAGACAGCCTTGGGAGAATATTAGCTGGTGCAAGAAGGCGATAAGGGAACAAAACATGGAATTCCAACCCACCTATGGGACTCAGAGGAGACCACAACCACTCGGGCTGGGGCTGAGCGGCACAAGACATCCTGAAGGAGCTGGACCAGGTAAAAGTGCCCCAGGTGATTCACCTGGAAGGTGGTCTCCAGACCATCTTTTGTGAGGCTCCAAGGTAGAGCGAAAGCTGCTGCATTGCACACGAGCACATGCAGAGACCTGAAAAATAAAACAACCAACGTTATATAGGCATAAACACTCTAAAATCAAGGATAACTCATGCTCTCTCCGGAATAAACAATTATTCGCTATCTTCAAGATTCCAGTCCCTTGGAAATAGGATATCCCAGAATGCCTCATCTTAAATCACTCTGAAGGGGAAGGGCTTGGACTTGGAGTTGGCAACTGTCCAGGATTGCTGGTGGAAGGAAGGGGTTCCTGGGATGCAGGACGTTCAGTGCTAAAACCAGGGCCGTAGTGGGCAAACCAGGTTGTGTTGGTCACCTTGGGTGGAACCTAGGTTCTACCACCTAACTGAATCTATGCTTCTTAATTCTTCCAATTCTCAGCTTCTTCAACATAGTCCTTAAAGTAAATATAAAAGAAAAATATGCTGCAAAAAGGTGAACGTAGGAACCAGTATTTAGTAGGTGCTCAGTAAACTTACCAAGGTAGAAATGCTCTGTCTAAAGAGACAGGTACATATGGTTTGTATATTTCTTCTAGAAGTAAGAATAAATCTACATTTTAGAAATGAGCTTTGGAGGTAGGTAAGTGGAGGCCTCTTATAATATTTTATTTGGTATATATTTATTTCATAATAAAAATTTTAAAAATATTAAGTAAGCTTTTCCTGTGAATAAAAATCCTAAATCGTTTTAAAGAAACTGTACTTGTGGGAAATCATCCTAAGGTACTAATAAGAATTTTATAAAGAAATATATTCAAGGCTACCCAGTGTTGTAATTGCAACATAAAAACAACATATTAGAATTAAACTAAATATACAATTGGGAAATCATTAAATGAATTTGAATATATGTATATTATAGGAAACTATGCAGCCATTAAAATAACAAATAAACAAATCTATTGACCCTGGTAAAACCTTCATGATAAAAAACAAAATATATACTATTATATGATCACACACATGCACAGAGCACACACACACGTGGTAATGAAGTATACACAAAAATGTTAACAGTAGTTGTCTTTAGGGGTGGGTGGAAATGTAGGTGGAGAAAACAGCACTGGTATTAGACCTTGATTCAGCAGCCTTGGTGCTTGAGTTCTGGCTAAGAAAGAATTCAGAACCAAGACTCAAACTATAAGAAAAAGTATATTTAGAAAGTCACAGAGAGAAGTGAGCCTTACAAGTTATAGAGGCAAAGGAATGGCGCTTGAAGCTTAGGAGAAATAAAGCAAAGTACACTCAACAAAAAAAAATTCCAGTAGGTTTAGACAGTGATAGCGTCTGGGTCCTCAGTCCTAAGAGCTATTAAAGCTGGGGATTTTAGGGGACTTCCTAGGGGAGAATCTCAATAGAATATTCATCAGCTTTCCAGGTATATGAAATCAGGGTCATGGTCTCCAATGATTGGTCAGCACTAGGGTAGGGGGTCATTAGTCAATGCAGCTTGTTCTGATGTCAGCCATGGCATCACTTGTCTGGTGTTGCTGCATTTCTGGGCCTGGAGCTGAAACACAACTGAGGCCTAGATTTTGTCCCTAGGAGTCAATGATTAAGGGAATGGTTGTGCAAGGGCTTGTATGGGAGTCACATGAGGCCACTCTTTGGCCCCTTGTTCCTCTCCAAGGGTGTCTACCACATGACTAGGGACCTACCAGGAGAGGAAAGGTGAGGGGAAGGTCTGAAGCACATGACCAGTGATATGAAAGGTCAGGGGGTCTAAACCGCATGGCCACCCCACCGATATGCAAGCGGAGGAAAGGTTATCCTGGGGCCAAGGTCCTTGTTTTCCCAGTTCTGCTAGGCACCTGGGGCTTTCCACCCTGGTGACCTCCTGTACCTGGCCCAGGGTCCTTGCTCTGCTCATGTCTAACTGCTACCACAGAATCCAATGTGTCTTAAATTGTTTTCTTTCTGAGTTCATTCATATTTTCTTCATCTTTTCCCTAAAATTAACATATGATATCTTTATAATAAGAAACAATATAATCAACTAAATGCTTGATAGAAAAAAAGCATTTGGGAATTTGGCTAACAAATAAAACAAGAGAAAAAGAGATAGGGTAGGGTTTTAGAGTAGTACTGGATGATAAGTTTAAAGGTCTGAATTTTGTCTGTCTCAGACAAATCACCAAGGTCTTTGAGTTTCTAAATCCTGGAAATTAATGGGAGCTGGTAATTGAAGGTGATGTTTTCTTATACAGTTCAAATTCCACACCAATGGCTTGCAGGTAATATTTCCTATGTGATATAGAAAGTAAAATAATTTCCTGTATTTTTATTTTTAGAAAGTCAATGTTCCTTTATAGAAACTTTTCATAGAGCTATTACTTTTTCTAACAATGTGATTTTGTTTCAACCTCATAAAAGACTGTAGCCAGAGTCATGAATTTTTAAAAACCAACATTGGTATGTAATAAAGGGAAGCATAGCCCGGCCCATTTGGCTCAGTGGATTGAGCATTGTCCCATGCACCACGAGGTCAACAGTTTGATTCCTGATCAGGGCACATCCCTGGTTTCCTGCTTGATCCCCAGTGGGGGGTATGCAGGGAGCAGCAATTCATTGTTTCTCTCTCATCACTGATGTTTCTATCTCTCTCTCTTCCTTTCTCTGAAATCAATAAAAACATATTAAAAAATAAATAAATAAAGGAAACACTCTAAAAACTAAAATAATGTTATCTAAATAAAGTAAAAAGGAACAATGACAAATTCGTGCAATGCTATAAAGGACCTATAGTTTTAATATATAAAGAATGCTTACAAATCAATAATAAAACTTCTGAGTCCTGAGGAAGTATGGATAATGACATTTTAAAATTTTATAAAACTAGATTACAAAGTAAGCAATACAAGATGAAACATGTTAAACTCTACTAGTAGCAAAATTGTAAATAAGATTTTCTCTATTAAATGAGCAGATTTATTTATATTATCTTTTTATTTTGTATAAACTTGGTGATTACATTCCTGTACTCTATATATTAAGTTGAAAATATATATCATAAGAATTAGAAAACTTCACATTATTTTACTCAGTCATCCTGTTTCTGAGAGTACATAGGGGGCAGTGTTGAGGCAACAGTTCACACCTTGAGAGAGAAATAGTTTATCACTGATAATGTTTAGAATTGCCACTGTATGATCATAATAAAACACAGCAACCTTTAGTCAGTTTTATTATTGGTTTTGAATTCTCTACAAATCATGCTCCCCCATTTTGCCTACATATGAGGCACAGCCTCTTATAATCCCATGATATGCCACTGCTTCTATAGGGGGTTAAATGATGGACCCTAATAGATATGTCCACTAGGAACCTGTGAATGTGGCCTTATTTGGAAAAAGGATCTTGGAAAATGTAATTAAATTCATATCATGAGATGAGATCATCCTGTATTAAGGTGGAACCAATGACAAGTGTCCTTACAAAAGAAGAGCCAGGCAGGAGACTCCAGAGAAGGATATATGAGGGCCAAGGCAGAGACTGCAGTGTTGCATCTAAAAGCCAAGGAATGCCACTGATTGCCCACCTGCACCAGAAGCTGGGAGACAGGCACTGAATGGACTCTCCCTCAGAGCATCAAGAAAGAACCAACCCTGCCGACACCCTGATTTTGGACGTCTGGCCTCCAGAACTGTGATAGGCTAAGTTTCTCTTGTTTTAGGTCATCAAATTTGTGGTAATTTGTTATACCAGCTCTAGCAAACTAAGACAAGTTTCCAAGTTTCTTTCCTAAGAAAATACTCAAAATTTATATAAAAGTTTACTCATAAGGATGAGTCATAATTATATTTGAGCTAGAATTGTAAAACGTATATAAACTAGAAGTACCTTAAAATCCAACAGCAGAAGAATGAGGAGCTAAGCCCCAGTATCCTGTAAAGTACCGACCAGATTAAGTCACTATCACTTCTTCTGTCTCTACCCTTCCCTTTTGTCTGCAAAATAAAACTCTTCTAAGCTATTTTTTCAGCGTTCCCCTGTCTTTAAGACAGGCCTGGGAATTTGGAATTTTGGCACCATAACCTCTTCATAACACCTTTATCCCTGCCTGTGCATTTTGTCAAGAAAATGCAAACTGAATCAAGTAAAAAAAACTTGCTTACCAAAGACCTCAGCCTGGAGGACCCAAACACCCTTTTCTGTTTCACCAAATTTTAACACCCTTTATTAATGTTAACTGCACAACACCAGAGGCAAAATATGTACCCTGTACCTAAAACTTGTCACCTCCATTAATTAAAAACAGGCTTATGGAATATGAAACTATAAAGTGCTAGACTTTTTTTTCTAATTGAAAAGACACTTAATTGGTTTGTACAAAAGGAAAAGAATTCCTTTAGCCTCGCTTTAATGAGGTTTTTATTATTCAAATGGTACATTTTGCTCAGTTTTGACTATAAGCCATTGCAATTCAAAAGGCTCTGAGATGATTAATATTTACAAAATATCAAAGGAAAATTCAATAAAGATAAAATGGAAACAAAAACAGTTTCATTTGGATTCCAAAGCTGATGCTATTAGCACTTTCAGGGACTGATATTTTTCTTCTTTGGTGGATTCTGATCTGTGAGAGGTGAGTGAGGACAGGAAGGGTTGTCTTGCGTGGATAGCACAGGAGATTCTAATAGGTGTGTGTGTGTGTGCGCACACACACACACAAGTGCACCTTTGCACCTGCTCTCTGTGCTTCTGAACTACCATGGAGAAAGCTTATATCTCTTTATTGAGTGGACCCAGCTCCTTCTCTGAGCAGCTGGGGGTGATGTTTAGAAAGTAGTAATCAATTGCATCCTTGAGGGCCAAAACATTTCTTTGGGCCAGAGAACAACTACTCAAGAATAAGGAGGGTGGGATTCTAATAATTTACCAGTGGGAAGCTCTGCTTGTTATCCATGGGCATGACAATTGGCCAAGCTTCTATCCAGGGTGCTCTTAGGTGGTACTTCTCACTGGGAAGAGCACTGAATGGTGATAACAAACTAAAGAGGGTCCTACTCCAAAGATTGTCGCCTACTGG